CACACACACACACACACACACACACACACACACACACACACACACACGAATACACACACATGCGCACTGACACACACATACACACACCCCATAATGCTTCCTGCAAGGGAGGGGCAAATGGACGGGCTGTAGCCTCCTAAGTTCTGCGTCCTCATTGTCCCTGCCTTACAGTTCTAGCAGGTAGCTGGAGGGGGTCAGAAGCCAGCCCCCATGGTGCGTGAGGTTTATGCATCCTAACTCAATTGTTTCATTCAATCACATTCGCTGTTCATCATCATCTCTGCGTCACTGAGTTACCCAAAACTATGGAGGTCCCCATTCCTGGAGCCTACCGGGACCTACTCTCCCTCTGTTGAGTCCTCCTCCTATGCTACCTAATACCAGAGTCTGCACAGTTTATCCTTGCGGCTTGAGCTGTATTGCCCCAAAAATGGTACACTGGAGTCCTAGGCCAAAGCTTGCGAATGGGAACCTCTTTGGAAATAAAATCTCCGCAGATGGAATCAGTTAAGGTGAGATCCTAGTAACGAATGTGTTGTACGACCTAGAGAAGCACCGAGATGCACAGAGAAGACACAGGTGATAACAGAGGTAGAGGCGGGAGTGTTGTGTGCACAAACCAAGGGACTCAAGGACTGTCAGCATCAACACTGAGGACACTGCTGGCCCCTCGAGTCCATGACCCCATCCTCCAGGGCTGGGATAGAATTGCCTTTGGTCTAAGGTACAGTTTATGACACTTTGTCACAATGGTCACAAAATAACCAGGACATTTACCATGGCTGATGGACAGATGTCTTCCTACCCCATTTGATAGTGATGCCCCAAAGCATCAGGAGTCTTGCTCCCCATGTAACCCAGGCTTCAAATCCAGTGCCCTTGAGCAAAAGTAAATAAAGGACTGGTGGCCTAACAGATGACCCATGGTTTTCCAAGTTCCTTCACAATTACAAGGAATTCTGGGAAGGTCAGGAAATTTTATCCTGACTTCCACCTTCTCCAGCACATGCACATGTCTCTCTGTGGATCATGTGCTCACTGTCACTTCCATGAGGTTAAGCCTGATACACTCCATGTCATGTCTCATGATGGACTGGGTACTCAGAGTGTTGACAACTGTGACCTCTGGGAAAGGGGCCAACAGGGTAAGGGGACAGTAGGGGACGGGAGCTAGCAAAAGCTCCCCAGTCAGACCCCGGCACAGCAGCTGGAGCAGAGGGCTACTTCTCCGAGGCTCTGCCGCTCTGGAGGACACCTCCACACCCTCTGGAGTCCCTGTTTTTCCATGCAGTGAATCCTGTCACCTGCACCATGACTAGAAGTGACCAAGATCTGGACCTGATGCAGGGAGTTATAGAGAAGTGGCCACACAGTTAAAACAGAAAAAAAGAGGGGACAAGCCCATGGCAAGGACTTAGAGAAGGACCTGGAGAAGGAGGGGGTATAGAGGCCTAGAATCCCTAGTGTGAGTTGCTGGTGTGTTAGGCAGGACTCATGGAGGCTTCCCGGGGTCTGACTCGGTGTGCTCAGGGCGAGCATGGCTGTCCTTCATATTGACTCTTAGTGACGCTTAGGGATTGAGTTCCGGGATCCCGCTCAGATTCCCAAACCCAATGGTGGTCAAGTCCCTGAATAAGTGGGACAGTAGTTGCATATGACCCACGCGCCTTCAATCCCTCTGGATTATAACAGCAATAAATGCAAATTTGCTGTGCCAGCAGTTGTTCAACTGCATTGTTCGGGGAAGAGGGACAAGAAAGAAACGTCTGTGTTCAGCACAGAAGACATTTTCCATTTTTCTGTCGCCGGAAATGAATGGCTGAATCCTTGGATATGGAACCAACTGGTGTGGAAGGCTACCCTCTGAAGCGCCCAGGTTAGCCACATAATGTCACACTCAGACAGAACCCCAGGCTCATGGCTGATGTCCACAGGGCTCCCTCTTCCACTGCCTGAAACTTGAGGGCTCTGGCAAACATAACATCAAGGGATGAGATCGGCCCTGCACATCACACAAGGCAAGCTCCTCTCTCTACCGCCTCACCAGCACCACATCCTTCTCGCCAGGGTCATTTTGCACGGTGGCACACGTGACCTTTGATACACTTGATCTGTCTACTGTCATCATCTCTAGTAGAGAACAAATTCCACCAAGTCGGGACTGCTCACTGAGGCATCCTCAGCGCCAGAGTATGCCGGGAGTGGAGCAGAGGCGAAATCAGCTTTTGAAGAATGTGTGAGTGAGCAAGTGAGTGATGAATAAATGAATGAATGAGTGGGCATTCATACGGCAGTATCTTTCTCAGCTTCTGCATAGTTCCTGACAGAGTAGGGTCTTAGTAAGCACTTCAGTAAGAAATAAAAACAATAATAAGAGTTGTTATGAACTGTGGGTCCCCAGACCCTGAATTTCTTGTGACGCCCCCTGCCTGCCAGAGTAAACAACTTGTTTTCCTATGCCTGCTCTGAACAAATCACTTGTTTTGCAGCTGCTCTGAGCATGAGACCCTCAGAAGTTCCTGATGGCAGGGAGTGGCTTCTGGTGGGCTTGCAGCTGAGAGTTAGGGTGTGGTCATTAGTCAAGGAGACCCTACATAAGACAATAAAGGGGGCATTCTTGGATAATTCTTGGCGTTATCCCCCCTCCCCCCCCGTGTGTGTGTGTGTGTGTGTGTGTGTGTGTGTGTGTGTGTGTGTTTCAATCTCCAGCCCCTTGCCCAACGACTCGCAAACTGTCCTGTAGTACAATTCAGGTATAGTACCATAGTACACATAGTACAAGCACTACAGGACCGTAGTACACGTAGTAGTACGGATGCTACAAAGAGTGATGGAAATTTGGACCATGGGCCAGTGGTGGTTAAGCTACGGTAGTGGTCAAGAGGTTAAGAGGCCCAGAGCTAAGAGCCACTGAAATTGTCCGAGGAAGAATCTGACTGGTGCCTGGGCCAGCAGCTGTCACTCAACTCACTGCTGAGCCCTCTAGACCATCACAGTCACCTACGGCGGTGGTGGGCCCAATGTGACAGAAACCAATCTGGGTATTTAGGTGGAGCTGTTCTGCAGGCACAGTGAGCCATGCGAGACTCTGACCGTGTGTACAGAGCTGAGTCTGGGAAAGGTTTAGGGCAACTGAACATTTGCAGGGTAGAAAAATGTAGGGGGCAGCCAGGGAGCCAGGGACAACAGGGACCTAAGGGACATTCCAAGATACTTAGAGATCATGGTTGCTGGGGGAACAAGAAACAAGGAGGGGACAGCATCCTTTTAGATCATCTGTATGGAGGAGATTGGTGTCCTGACTTCATCCGGGCACAGGGGACTCAGTGACCGGTCTGTGGGGAGGAGGGCTGAAGCTAGCGCTTTTTCTGGGATTAATTCTGGGGTTTCTGTTTCCTCTTCAAGCCTTCTTAACATCATGTATCTTCTGAGATTCGCCTTAGGGGCTACACTGTAAAGAAGAAAGAGGAGGTGTGTGCACCCCTGGGCCATGAGAGAGAAGAACCAGGTTGGCCTTCTGGGGACTCTGGAAATTTACCTCCTAATCCTCTGACTTCTGACCTACTTGGATGTATTCATCCCTTCACGTGCTTGGGTTAAACTACACATGCCACAAGCATGACAAAGGAGCAGCCTGAGTTAAGTTATACATGTCACAAGCATGATGGAGGAGCAGCCTGAGTTAAGTTACACATCACAAGCATGACGGAGGAGTGGCCTGAGTGAAATTACACATGTCACAAGCATGATGGAGGAGCAGCCTGAGTTAAGTTATACATTTCACAAGCATGACGGAGGAGTGGCCTGAGTGAAATTACACATGTCACAAGCATGACGGAGGAGTGGCCTGAGTGAAATTACACGTGTCACAAGCATGACGGAGGAGAATGACTAAGGTAAAAAAGAAACCTACCTCTTAAAACCCACAAACTTGGCCATGTTTTTGTTGAGAATTCTGTGGATTTGTGGTTTCCAAAGCTTTGCTTACGGATGTCAAATGGCATCAACCCTACAAGGCCCTCAGTTTCACCATTTCTTTACGAGTCACTGAAAGACTTCCAGGAGGATATTAAACTAGGGAACACCATCATGAGAAAGCATAGTCCAATTCCTAAGATAGGAGGCGTGAACATGTATGTACTTTCGAGTCATATGACAGCTAACAGTAGTGAAACGTTCTTTGAAAACCCCAAAGGGAACCAGAAAATAGTCCAACTGACATCAAGTTCTCTCCTAAGGGTTTTTCCCATGGAGCCTATAAGACAGAAGAGCACTTCGCCATCCTGCCAATAGCACTGATGGCTTGAGAAACTCCATGTGCCTGTTCCACAGGGCTTTCTTCTTGTTACATCTTCTGTGTTCTGGTGTGGCTATGAAGCGCCCTACCTCCCACCCCACAGAGCCCATGTGTTGGAGACTTGGTTACTAGATGGTGTTCTTGAGAAGTGAGGATGGTGAATTAACCCGCTGATGACTTTCTTCCTCAGTGGCACACTGGAGGTGAGGCCTGGGTGGAGGAATGCCAACCTGTGAAGGTTCTGTTTGACCCAGGCCCCTTCCTGACTCTCCCTCTGCTTCTGAGGTGCGCTATGCCCATCTACCAGGATGTCTTGTTTCATCACAGCCCTGAAACAACAGAGCCAGTCCAGCAAGGAATGCGACTGCCAACATAGATCTCCCCTCTTTTACGTACTTTCTCGGCTATTTATCATAAATAATAATTAGTCATAAAAGCCAACACATGTAGTGGGAACCTTAGCTTCATTACCAGGAAGACACGATTGTCCCAGACAGTTTGTGGGTTACACCAGTTCCTCCACCCTAACCCTGGAAACTGTGTCTGACTTTTCAACACCTGCCCTTCAGCATGCACCAGTGAGCTTTGGAGCTGGCATTTGAGCTCGGACTCCCAAGTTTCCTGACCTTGAAAAACTCACCTCCTCCACCACCTCCTCCTCCACCTCCTCCACCACCTCCACTACCTCCTCCTTCACCACCACCTTCTCCTCTACCACCATCTCCTCCTTCACCACCTTCTCCTCTACCACCACCACC